AGATGTTCCACAGAGAACTATAGGATTTATTGCTTGCCCAGCTGGTGTTTAGACTTGCTTTGGTCCCAGTCCTTTGTATCATGATCTGTAAGTTTTGGAACAGAAATGTTTATTTTGTGCCATAGAATTTTGGAAGTGTTTAACTTTCTTTTTCTTTGTGCAGGGACCTTCAGAAAAGAACTTGCCTTATGTCTTGAGGAGATTTGGGACGTGGACTTTTCAACAATACTAAAACTGTTAAGATTTTGGCAACTCTTAGAGATGGACAAAACGCCATTTACATAAAGGACTGTACCTGAATCTTTGAGGGATCAGGGGTGAAATTTTATGGTTTGTGTCTGGATTTCCCTCTAAAGCCTCATGCAGTCATGGGCTTTTAAAGTTTGTGATTGGTTCAGATTGATTCATAGTCCAATGTTGAGGTTATGGGGATGAGTGCACACCTGCCCTAGGATGGGTAGACTACATACAATATAAGGTAGGAAAAGAGGCTAGTTCTTGTTCTTCTTTTGCTCTTGTTGCTTTTGGTATCTGCTGCTACCATGAACTGTTGCTCCTCTGCTGTGTGCCACTCTGCTTTGGAGCCAATTGATTATGTACTGAAAGCTCCGTAAACTGTGAGCCAAATAAACACTTTGTTCTTTAATTTTGAGCATTGGATATTTTGTCTCAACAATGAGGGAAAAGGAGCCCAGATACTATATACTGTGGTTTGGTTATGCATCGAAAGTTTGGTTACCAGCTTAGGGCTGCTGGGAGGTGTTGGAAGAATTAGAAAATGAGATCTGGTGGAAGGAAGCTGTCATTGCGGCTTACCTTTGAAGGAGGTATTAGGAGCCTTAGCTCTGTCTCCCTCCACTTCCTTTCTGACTACATCGAAGTAAACTGCTCTGATGTACAGTGTGCTCATCATGATGCTTAGTCTTTCAGCAAGCAGAAAACCATGCAGGCAAAAAGCAATGCACAGAAACCTGTGAATGCTTGAGCCAAATCAATTTTCTCAGATATGTTGTCACAGTGAAAGAAATCTGATAAATGTAAAGAGTAATTTCATCATTTTGGTTGCTTCATCAACATATTCAAAAGTAAAATAAAAATTAGCTATAATCATATTTAATAATGTTAAACAGTAATGAACTTAGAAGCAGGTAAATTTTGATTACGCAATTTTTATTTTGTGGAGACTTAGACACTGGAATAATTAGGAAAGGATGGATTTTATATGAGCTATCATTATATACAAACACAGGAGCACATTATAAATTATATATATAAAAATCATAAAAATAACCAAGTAAAGAAAAGTTTAAGAACTTACAAAAAGACAGAAATTATAATATACAATACTAAAGTATATATATATATATATATGTATATATGTATATATATATATATACTATATCGATATATATTACTAAGATTTTTCTCTAGTAAACAGATAAACATATCATAACATACAATTTTGTGCTATAGGAAAGGCTTAATCAAAAATATGATATTGGAAAATAAAAAGATGGGAAAATATACACTAATGTATATATTTCATTTTCTTAAAAAAATAGTACATGTCTGCATGTACTGAACATCAATTTTAAAAATATTTTATTAGTACGTGTTTTTAGTACATAATGATTATGTTCATTATGGAGTTAGTAAACATGCCATAATGTATTTTAATCCTTTTTGCATCATTTTCTTCTCCTTACGTATTTCCCTTTTTTCATTTCTTGGTCTCTTTCTTTTTCAGAAGATCCATGTTCAGCTGGGCATGGTGGCATACTCCTGTAATCCCAGGGAGACTGAGGCAGGAGAATTGCCCTGATTTTGAGGCCAGCCTTGGCTACATAAGTGAGTTCAGTGCCAGCCTGAGACACATAGTGAAATTCTATATCAAAAAAGAGGAAAAAAAGAAAACAAAAATCAAAACAAATATACAAGACAAAGCACAAAAGCCCAAAACTCTCTTGTTCCTTTTATCTAATTTTTACATTTGTTCTTTATGTTATTTATGCTTTGGGTTTCTCATGCAAAAGAAATCATGTATACTTTATCTTGTGCATCTGATTAATATCTATCTATCATGTAATCTTAATGATTTATGCTCTTACTGTTATCTTATTTACTTTGCCTACATTGGATTCAATTTCCACATTTTTTCAATTTGTTAAGTGTACTGATAGACTTTTCTGTTTTTAAAATTTGCTTTCCTATGTGCATTTGATGAAATATATTTTTCTCCATACTTTATTTTTGTCTCAAAAGTCTTATTCCTTATTTGCATTATTACTAAATTAGAAGTTTAAAACATTTTTCTTGTGTTCATGTGTATGTGTAGATAGATAGATAGATAGATAGATAGATAGATAGATAGATAGATAATAGATAGATAGATACCAGAGTGAGAAACAAAATTTAAAAGACAATACTTGCAAATAAATATTAATAGCCTTGAGAAGTCTGGTAAGTGTTGCGGCAGCTGCTTCATAATCATCTTGCATCTAATTTATTCAACAGAACTATCAAAACTATGAAGCAGATACTCTTAATATGAATGTTATGAAGATGTGGCAACTCAAGCTTACCGAGACATAATAATTTGTCCAAGGTCTCAAACCTAGTGGTTTGTAAATGAGGGTATTAAATACATACTTTGAATCCAAAGCCCATTATTTTAACCTCTACAGAATATAGCCTGCCTCCTTGCTCTCAAACCCAAATGAGTAATTTCACTATTTTGCTTCTATGTACTTATCTGCATTACTCTTCTTGGTATACTCATTGGTACACCCTTTCATTCAGAAAATCTGCAGCCAGGTTTGGTGGCACACACAAGTAATCCCAGCACTCAGGAGACAGACAGGAGGATCAGCATTTGAGATGACCCTAGGCTACAATGTGAGTTAAAGGCCAGCCTGCATTGCAAAATCCTGTCTCAAAAAACACTGAAAAAATTAAATCTTACCTCAGAGAAAAAATTATTATTATATCTCAATTACCTGTCTAACTTCTAGAAATCATAATAGTAAATTTCTGATCTTCTGAATTAATTCCTACATAGTCATACAGCTCATTTTTTATTTGTTTTTTTTGAACTAACTTCTGATAGACACCCTCAGAATCTGTGTTTTCTAATTAACTCAATATGTATTTCAGAATTATCTTAGATTTTTAAAAGAATGGTGTGATCTTGCACTTTAAAATAATAAGTTAGAAACATTAATTTAGCCAAAACAAAGAAAATTTAGCCAAACAAGCCAAAATAATATGTTAAAAACATTAATTTAGCCAAAACAAAGAAAATCACAATAAAGGTGTCCAGGTAAATCCTGTTATACATAGATTACATAATTTACATAGAAAGATCTAACAATAGCCAAAGGGGCATATGGCAATGTAGAGAATTTTATTTTTTATTATATTATTTATTTATTTTTGGAACCAGGGATCGAACTCACAACCTCACACTTGGCAGGCAGGTGCTTATGCCTCTGAGCTAAATCCCTACAGAAGCATTTTAAATGAATAAGGTTGACACTAATGGAAAGAAATTTATCTGAATCTAATTTACTTGTTTTAAATTTTAAAATTTGAGCTTCAATTATTTTGTCAGATTCTTTTCTTAATATTAACTCTACATGTCTCCTTATTCCTGTTTATTCTCTGCGTGCTAAACACTTCTTTTGTTTTTATCAATATATACTTTTTCTTTACAACTCAGTAAATGTTTTTCATGGGCTATACAATGTCTTTGCTTCACAATGAGGCACTAACTTCAGCAATTAAAGCTCTGTCTACGATCATCTGTCCTCAGTGTAGGATAAAAGAGAGCAAGTATTTGTATTTTTCCATTTGAAATTTATTTTTGAAAGAAATAAAAATAATTCTGAATATGTTGATGAGCAACATATAATGATTTCACAATCATTTTATTCTAGACAGAAAGAATGGACCACACTGAATATGTTAAATACTATCAGTTGAATTTCCTTTTCCTAACCAAGAAAAAACATACTGTGTGTCTCAACTTGTCTATGGTGAAAAGTAGCCTCTGCTGTTCATTTTGTGAGGGAGGTTAAGACAATTAGTTATGTACTATAGGGAAGCTAAGCCTGAGTTGGGAAATTGTAAGCATTGTACAGATGTGTCAACTTTAGTGGATTAAGAAATGACTAAGAGATTAGTACAGCATGCTCTTGAGTATAAGCACAGTGGGTCACAAATGTATTGTCTTGGGTGCTACATATGTTTCCTGGCTCAGTTCTATGAAGTCCTGTTCAACTGATCTGCACACCAACTGCCAAGAACTAAGCAGCTTTGCTTTACTAGGCTTTTATACTATGATGTTCCTATATTTATAGACTGAATTCCTCCAAACTTTGAACTAAATAAAATCTTTTCTATTTTTAGTTGTGGGTGCCAGATGGCACATCAGCAATTGGAAGTCTGACTCTCTCAGTTACTTTCCTTATTGTTGGGATACAAAACATGACACCCACAAATTAAAGGATGAAAGGTTTAATTTTAGCTCACAGTTAGAAGCCTTAGTCCTTGCAATGGCTGGTCAGTTCCCATGAAGGAGAACATGGCAGAGGGGCATGATGAACAAGATGACAGGGTCAAGAAATGCATCAGAAGGGAGAGATAACCTGAGTCACACTTCCAGTGACCTAACTCTTCTGACAAGACCCCATCTCCTAATAGATAGTCAGATATAACCCCATAATCCAATTCCTTCCAAAATCATCTCTCGCTTATGACTGCATGAGAGTCCTGGGAGACATTTAGATATACACCACCTAATACTAATAAATCGGGTACTAGAGAAAGGCAGGTATTGCTATTACTGTAACTAACCTTATGCTACAGAAGTCCTTAGAATTGATTTGTGGAGAATTGTGTCAGTGGAGCTTGATGAGTAAATCTGGTCAGACCTGAGAAGAACAACACATTGATAGGGATGTAGGCAGTAAAGTCCAGGCTCAAGAAATTGTACTTTGAATGTGTTCATTTCAGTAGCACATATATCAAAATTGGAATGATAGAGAAGTTTAGCATGGTCTCTGCACAAGAATGACATGCAAATTTCTGAAGTGTCCCATATTTTTTAAAGAAAGTCATGGCACTTTTATACAATGGAATGATACTCAGCTACCCAGAAAGATAACCTTGAGGCTCTTGTATGTAAATGCATATAACTTCAGATCATGCTCAGGGGTGAAATGGTTCAGAGTTACATGGATCAATATTGTGTTGTTTCTCTAAAGGAGAGAAAATCTAAAGGAGTTAGTAGATTCTAAATTGCTCAATACATCCTATAAAAGTAAATTTTTTTTGGCCATTAGCAGAGGCCATTTTTAATCTGTTATCATGATTTGAAACCCATAATTTTTTTCATTGTTCTGTTTAGTTTGGTTTTCTTCTGTTTCAGTTCTCTAATTTTATAATATTTGATGACATGCACAGCTATTTTAAAGTTAACAAAATATATTATGGTAGTCATTATTGATTTCCTACTGGCTTGTTTTGAAGCCCTATAATGCTTTCATTGTTTGTTTTGACTGAATTTGTTCTATATTGTTTTGTTTGACTGTATCATCTCTGATGGTATAGGCAACCACTTTGAAGATAACAAGATGCATTATGATACCCACTATGGTTTTACTATTACTTTATTTTGAAGTCCTGTGCTTTTTCCATTGTTTTGTCTTTATTGGTTTTATTCTGTACTATTTCATTTGATTTTATTATGCCTGATGGTATAGGATATTCTTTAGAAGATAAGAAGAGGCAGTATGATAGTCATTATATATTTCCTTGTATTTTTTTGAAAGTCATGTACCATGTTTATTTTTTGATTGACACTCTTCTGTTTTATTTAGTTTGGTTTTATTCTCTTCAAAATTAAAGAAGGGAATTTAGTTTAGAATAAAGTCTCTATTGACAGTTGGACTAGGTGGCACATGTGCTACACTCTCAGACAATTTGTCTAAACTTTGCCCATGTTCTAGACTTTGCCACATTCAGCCCTCCATGCGTTCAGAGTCCACGACTGCACTGATTCAAGAGGGCCTGGCTATTGCTTTTATATACAGATTTTGGCATCAGGTATGTAATTCTGGTTTTACTTTTACATTCAGAATGTGTGAGTTGTAGAGTCAAGGAAGCTTTACCCAAGTTTCAAAGAAAGGCCCAGTAGGCCTGGCAAGGAGACCACTAAGAGGACTGTATAGGAAGTGGCAAAAATGGAGCCAAAATTTTAGTGGACATTCCAGGTAGCTAAAGTCTCAGAAATAGGGAGTTTTGACCCAGGAAAGTTAAATTCCAAGGTAAAGTCTGCCAAAGAGGGGCTATAAAGATTGTAACTAGCAAGACCACAGGGATGCACTAATGATGTCCTTTGAAACTCACATTTTGCCACTGTGTGCTGCAGATATTTGACATGGAGATATAGTAATGGTATATTTATTTTCTGCTTGATTTTATTCTTGCTTTGTAGGACTTTTGTATTCCCTTGTTCCTACCTTTTGGAATAGAATGTGTATCTCATATCGTCATATTTTGAATTTGTGCAACTGTATTTTTATAGAAGCTCACAGCTAAGAATTTGCCTTGAGTCTCATAAGAGACTTGAATTTTGACTTTAAAATAGTTCATAAACTGCCGAGACTGTGGGTAGGAAATTTTTGCATTTCCTGCAGTATGTAGGATAGTTATATTATAGTAGGCAGAATTATGAATTTTCTATTAGCTTTACTGGAGATTAAGTATAGCTTAAATATATGTTCTAATGGGAAGTTGACAAGGGGTAGATTGTGCATGTTGATATTAATAAGTAAATTCATTGGTTAAGAAATGTCTAGCAGATGAGTACATTGTGATTCTAATTGTGTCTGGGTAGGCTGTGAAGATGTGGCATTAAATATTTATATTCTTGAGGAGATTTCTGGGCCTGGCTGGACCACACTCACTGACTTCTTTCAATCGGGGGGGGGGAGCTGAAGCCATCTGAGGTGAGTTCCAGTGCACTGGTGCTTGCCCGGGGAGAGCCTAAGACCACCATTCCCAGTGGTTAGGTGCCTACACAGCTTCCTAAAACACTGGTCTAAGTGAGGGAGGTTTTGTGGGCCTGACTAGACCATGCCCAGCAACCTTCTTCCAATCCAGGGAGCTGAGGCCTCGTGAGGTGAGTTCCAGTGCACCAGCACTAACTCAGAGAGAGTTTATGATCATTGCTCCCAGCACTTAGGTGCCTGCCCAGCTTCCTAAAACTGAAGGTGGCACAGGAGGTCCTTTGGGCCTGACTGGGCCATTCCCAGAAATCTCAATTCAGTCCCAGCAGCCAAGGGCATAGGAGGTAATTTCCAACACACCTGAGGGAAGCTTTGGAACATCATTTGAAACATGGAAATATAGGAAAATGACAAGACAAAAAAATATAATCTCAAACCTCCAGCCCTTCCCAAGAAAGCCTAGGAGCCATGTACATAGAAGAAAATATAAGCTATACATATGAAATGATATCAACTGAAATAAAGAAGCAACTTTGGAAAGCTATAAAAGAATTCAAATCAGAAATAATCTCCCAGGTAAAAGAAGAAATGATAAAGTAATGACAGAAATGCTAAATACATCTAAAGATCACAGTTAGAAAATTAGAGGAACAATGCAAAAAGGTATAATCCCTGAATGAACAGTATGATAAACAAATGGAATGCATGAAGCAGATTCAAAGAGACATACAGGAAATAAAAAAAATCCATTGAAAGTTGGCGAAACCACTTCAATTAAAGTGAAGATAGAATTTCAGACCTCAAAGACAAGATTGCAGCTAGTGAACAGGAAAGGAAAGATCTTTTAAAAATAACAAGGAATGAGGAAATAACAATTCCACAGTTGCAAGATGATGTAAAGAAAAACAACATAAGATTAACAGGGATAAACAAAAAAGAAGGGGACAACACAAATGATATTAGGAGGCTATTTAGAGAAATAAGAGCTGAAAATTTCCCAAATATGAAAATGGAAGCTAACATACAGATTAGTGAAGCACATAGAACTCCAAATAGCCATAACCACAATAAAACTACACTCAGATATGATAATCACATCCCAGAAATCCAACATAAGAACAGAATATTAAAAGCTGTTAGAGAGAAAAGACAGATCACCTATAAAGGAAAACTGATCAGAATAATAGCAGACTTCTCAACACAAACAATGAATCCAAGAAGAGCATGGAGTGAAGTATTTCAAATCCTGAAGGTAAACGACTTTGAACCCAGACTGTAAAACTGTCCTTCAAAATAGATGAAGACATACGATACTTCCATGACAAAGAACAGCTGAAGAACTTCATGATCACCAAATCAACCCTGCAAAGAATACTGAAAGACATATTGGATACAGATAAGGGGAAAAAAAACCTACTAAGCAAGGCAGACAATTAAACAGAATGAAAAGATAGAGATGAAACAGCAGAAAGATAACATGTCAACAATAAACCAATACGTAACAGTTATAACTATTAATGTAAATGGCCTCAATTCACCAATTAAAAGAAACACACTGGCAGGATGGATCCAGACCCCAAAAGGAAACTCATAGACTGAAAATCAAAGGATGGAAAACAATACTTCATGCAACAGAAACACACACACACACACACACACACACACACACACACACACACACAAAGCAGGAGTAGTGATTCTGGTTGCAGATAATGTGAACTTCAAACCAAGAATGATCTGAAGAGATAAAGAAGGTCACTACATGCTAGTTAGGGGAAAACTTCACAAGGAAGAGATAACAATATTAAATATATATGCACCAAATTCTAAAGTACCTAGCTATAGAAAACAAGTATTAGCAGAAATGAAAATTCAAATTAACAATAACACAATTACAACAGGAGACCTTAACATTCCATTGACACAAAGGGCAGATTAACCAGACAGAAAATCAGCAAAGAAATATCTGACTTGAATCATAATTGTAAACAAATGGACTTGATAGATGTATACAGAGTGTGTTCATCCAACAACATCAGAATATACATTCTTCTCAGCAGTACATGTAGCATTCTCTAAAATAGATCATATACTAGCCCACAAAACATACTTAAGTAAATGCAAAATAATTGAAATTATTCCTTGTATGTTATCAGATCATAGTGCCATGAAACTAGAAATTAATAATAAAAAAAACTGCAAAAACCCCAGAAACACATGGAAATTGAATAATACACTTAAGCAGTCAGTGGGTCATAGAGGAAATTAAAGACAAAATTAAACAATATCTACAAGGAAATGAAAGTACAAATACAACTTACCAGAATCTGTGGGATACAATGAAAGCGGTCCTCAGAGGAAAATTCATTACACTGAGTTCCCACATCACGAAAACAGAATGAACACAAATAAACAAACTGATGCTACACCTCAAACATCTAGAAAAAGAAGAGCAAGTCAAGCCCAAAGCCAAAAGAAGGGAGGAAATTACAAAGATCAGAGCAGAAATTACTGCAATAGAGACTAAGTAAACAATTCAAAAAATCAATGAATCAAACAGTTGGTTCTTTGAAAGAATAAATAAAATTGATAAGCCCCTATCCAACCTTATTTTAAAAAGGAAAGAAACAACTCAGATTCATGCAATAAGGAATGAAAAAGGTGAAATTTCTGCAGACTCTGGAAATATAGGAGATCATCAACATCTATTTCAAAAACTTCTAGTCTCATAGGTTCAACAAAGCAGAAGAAATGGACAGATTCCAAGAAACATATGGACTAGCAAATCTGGGTCAAGAAGATGTAAAACTGCTGAATAACCCAATTTCTATTAATGAAATTGAAAATGTAATCAAGTCCTTCCCAACAAAGAAGAGCCCAGGCCCAGACAGATTCACTATGGAATTCTATAAGAAATACAAAGAAGACTTAATGCTGACACTCCTGAAGTTCTTCAATGAAATCAAAAGGGAAGCAATGATTTCTAAGTCATTCCTTTAAGCAAATATTACTCTAGTACCAAAACCTGAGAAAGATCCAACTAAAAGAGAACTACTGGCCAATCTCCCTAATGAACATAGATGCAAAAATTCTCA